ACTGCCTTCAAATACGCCCTTCTCATGAAGGTGGAGGAATGGAGCGACTGAACCTGCAAGAAAATTTAATATCATGTTTTTTTCAGATGTTTTCATTTTCTGCTGCGCTATACCCTCTTACCTATCTGCACCACGATACCACTGCTGTTACTGACCCCCAAGAGTACGACCCCCCATGGACCAGCCCAACAGGTACGACCCCCCTGTCGAGGATTTCCTCGACCGATATTCACCCTGCTCGCACAGTGCCTGCAAAACTTGCGCCGCTCTCGGACTTGAACCCTGGATGGTAGGATTCATAGCCGGGTTTTTGCCACTGCACCAGGGATCACTCGATCACACCACTGGAAGAGATGTTGATGACAGGTAAGCAACGGATGTTGTTTGCAAATCTTAGACTCAAGCGGTGTTGATCCAGCAACCTTGCCAGCGGCAGCGTGGAACGTTCCCATTGAGCCATTGGAAATTTGCCATAGTGGAAGTGGTGAGCATCCACCACGTTGCCTGCAAAGCTTGCGTCACACACGGGTTTGAACCTTCGGTGCACCGTCCCATGAGCGGCATCGCTACCACTGCACTAAGGAGCCCTTCTTATCGACAGTGAAAGGGTTGTAGAGAAAAGGCAATAGCCTGCAAAAGGTTGCAAACCTTTAGACATCTCGTAGTATTGATCCCGTGACCGATCCAACACCAACGTGGACCGCAGGCGCTACACCATTGACGAATCAATGCAAGGTGCTTCCCTTTCCCTTTCGAACACCCTGCTTTGACCCACGCACCTGGCAGTTTGAAGTTGGCCAACTTTTGCTGCGCGTAACGGGCGTCACCTGCGTCTCTCCAAACACATTGTATTTCGCCCCTCCGCGTCCCGTTTTCTGTCAGCGAGCCCTTCCTGCGCGTTTTACGGCTGCGCGTAACAAGGAACCACCCTGCCAGGGAGCTGCAGCTCACCTGGGAAGCTTTCTTCAGAGTTTCATAAATAGGTCTCCTAGGTGCCATAGAAGCGATTTCCACCATCATCGGAAAACTTGCACCTCCACGTGACGTGCTCATTAAAACTGCCCGTTAACGTGCAAGTTTGGCTAGTTTACTACCGTCCTAGAGCGATACTCATCGCTGCCTGCCAAAAAACAACCGCTTTCAAACATTTAGTCCTGTTTAGCGCCAATGTAAGGCGCACGGCACTTAGAAGGCTCGTCTTTGGAGTGGGCCACGTGGCAAGAATTTTAGCCAATAAGCCCCTCTCCTCAACCCCTTTTCCCCACTGCTATCTCACTTGCCTGTGGTCAGTGGTATCAATGGAGTCATTAAAGCTGAATTACGTGACACACTTGCTGCTCCGCTGCAAAATTCAGCATTCTACGTTAGATTTCCTCATTTCACTAGCCTCCCCGTCCTCAAATATATATGCGAATCAGCCTGTAATCTTTAATAAGACCCCCTTTACCACAATAGGCATATAGGACCCATTTCTGAGAATCCTCACTGACATTTGACATTGTTTTCTCACTTCCATGGCTGAATCTCCCCAAGCAGCCTACTTGCATTTGAATTATTGCCAATTTCACACTGCAATCACTCTATTTGAATGCAGTGAACAGAAGAAGAAGAAGTAAGCAGAATAGGAGAGGTAGAGCCGACCTGTCCTGGCGTGTTGTATAGAGTACCTTGGATTAAAATCCTCGCGCATTCGTCAACCTTTACCAATTCGCCCACCATACGCTCTCATCCACCCCCGTTTACTCTACGTCCATCGCTCCAGTTGTAAAGCCCAATAAGAATGAACCTAAAAAAATGTTTTGTATCGCGTTCCGGTTTCAACACCCCTCGGGCACACTTACAACTTTTCCTGACAATTCAATTTTTTCTTCATTCCTGTCTCCTCGCTCTCAAAATAAAAAAAAATGTGCGCCCTTCGTTGTGATAATATCTCCTGATTAGGATTTCCTTGTTTTAATGACTCCTTTACGGAACTTCCGTAAGAACGTAATTGTAAATGATGTTTTCAGAGTAATGTATCTCATCTACACTATTTGGGTACTTGCATTTTTTCCTTCATTATACATAGGTCTTCAGGTAAGTGTGACCTCGGAAGAGGTCTTTCGCTAGTGTTAACCCTATTTTCGCTTGCAAAGAGATAGTAATTCAGTTCAAACGAGTCGTGCCGGATTTCTGTGGGTATAACAGAGAGCTGAACAGCCAACGTGGCAGTTGTGATTATGTTACTAGTCAGAACATACCGTTTCGGTACCCTTTCGAGGTTTGTCGGCCTACCTACATATTTTTTATCCATATCTTAGTATTCTTTTCTTTGTCCACAATACATTACTCAAAAAACGTGCTGATTCCGATTTCCGCTTTCCGCACATCTTCATTTCTCGCAAGTCATTCTGTATGACGGGCATTTCATAAACTTTACGGTCATATCGCGGATGTCCCTCGCTAGCGAACCATTTTAGCCCTCATGATAAATAGTAACTACTCAATATTGTTGTCCATGTTGTCGAGCGATCGCAGATTGAAAGGGTAAAACATCGGCGGGAGGTTCTCAAATTCAATTATTTTTCTCTCTCTTATCTCGCTCTTTTGTATCTGGGCTCCATCAAAGACTCAACCGTCTGCTGTGCCATCTTCAAAGTCCTGCGATATCGCCACTCTAGGGATTCCCTCCAACGACCCCTTCAACGGTCGATGGTGTCGAAGTGTGTGTACCGACAAGATATCTCTCACTGAACATTAGACAACGAACCGTTGATCCTATTTCAACCCTCCATCCCCAGCTGAACGCATACTACCGTCTGGAAACGCTTAAAGGTTTTAGAGTATTAAAACCCGTTTTAGGCCCTAATTCTCCGTCGTGAATTTCGGAACTCCCTACGTTCATATGCCCTACACAGTTTGACAGAGCAGATTGTAGCCCACCGTAACAAAGCCTATTTTCAGCTTACAATGGTGGTCACTTTTGTATTACCGCTGATCTTCATTGTTTACTGTTACGTTCGAATATTAGGTAAATAGTTTGGAAGAGGTTTTTACCAGCCAATCAAATTACCCAATAAATGAAGCTTATTTAGCGAGTCTCAACGAAATGGCGAGGTCAACACGAGTGCACGTGCCAATCGGCAGCACCACCAGTACAGGACTCGTCGAATCCGAGTATTCTGTACGTTCACACAAAGAACTTCGCACCACCAAAAAGTCAACAAGCACAACGAATGGTTATGAAAATGCTCTGTGAGTACCTGACCACGATTGTCACCCATCGACATCCTCTGGAAAATGCCTACTTTCAGCTACTGTTACGGCTGTATTCTTTGTCTGCTACTTACCATATCATGTTGAACGGTTAATAGTGCAATATACGAAGCAACAATGCGATAGTTCAATGTTTTGCCTACTTCTTTATCCAGTCACCGGTGAGGCTTCTTCAATGAACAACTTTTTTATTTTATTATTTTTTATTTGAGAAGTTGCTCAAAGGCAGACAAAAAATACCACCACAATTATTTACATGCAAGCATAGGTTCATCTTATCACATTGATAAATACCAGAATCCCTGCTTCTCTGCCCTACGTCTGAACAATATAGAAACCTGGGGGAGGGGAGGGAAGGGGTAAATGGCATATTGCCGTTCGTTCCTCAGGTTTTTAGTATATTGTAACTTACTTTTTCAAGTGTTTGTACCATTCGAAGGAGAAATCCATCACGATAAGAACGAAGCTCAAAGAAGGGGAAAGTTGGGAGAAAGGCGGACCTCCTGAGGGTGCTGATCCGACGCGCAATTGGCAGCGAAAGATTTGACCTCGGCGATCTAGCATGGCTCACGTTTGACGCGGA